AGAGAAAACTTAAATGCACAATACTATGAGAAAAAAGCCAATCTGAAAAGACTGTATACTGTGTGATTCCAATTATATGGCATTCTGGAAAAGGCAAAACTGTGGATACAGTAAAAAGATCCGTGGTTGCCAGGGGTTAGTGAAGAGGGAGGGATGACTAGATCGAGCATAGAAGATTTTTAGGACAGTGAGAATTCTCTCTATGATTCCATAACAGTGGGAACATGTCCTTATGCATTTGTCCAAAGCCATAGAATGTATAATACCAACAATGGAGCTTAATGTAAACGATGGCTTTTGGGTGACGAGTGCCAGTGTGAGTTCATTGATTATAAAAAACGCACCACCTGGGTTGGGGATGTTAATTGTGGGGGAGGCTGTACATGTGTGATGATGAGGGTATGTGGGAAATCTCTGTACTTTCTGCTCAACTTTTCTGTGAACGAAAAACTTTTCTAAAAAATAGTCTCTTTTTTAAAGTGGCTTAAACAATTAGGATACTTATTGTGTCCCAAATCAGGGGTCTGGAGGGCAGAGAGGATTGAGGGTTGGTTCAATGGCTAAAGGTGCCATCAAGGACAGAGATGTTTCCCATCTTCTGGCTCTGTCTCTCTCTATGTTATAAAAAGTGTTGCAGTTGTTGGAGAAGTCACATATGCCGGCACAACCACACCCAGTAAAAATGAACATACTCCTTCTTATGTATCTTGTTTTAAGAGAAAGGAACGCTCTCCTTCAAGCTCCTCATAGACTTCCTTTTGGGTCCCATTGGTCAGTGTTGAGTCTCATATCCATAATCTGACTGCAAGGAAGGGAGAGGCTGCAGGGCAAGCACTCACCGAGGTCACACAAGCACTTGCAGAATTCCGTGCCTTTACTCGTGCTCCTTCCCTCTCGCTTATCTTGGCTCTCCCTTGGCCCACCTTTTATCCCTAAGAGCATTCAGGAATCCTCCGTGCAGGTTCCTCAGGCCTTTCTATGTAACTTCATCATCCCTCTATGTAGACTTTTTTGTGTGTGCATCTGTCTTAACAGCCAGACATGAGCTTCTGCAATCCCTCCTCTTTCATCAGGGGATCCCAAGGAACTTGCACAGGGTTTAGTGCACAGCCATGCTTAAAATGTGGTGTTGGATGGCAGGAAAAAGCAGATAGAGCTTTTCCCATCCTGGGGAGGACACAAAGGCCACAAAAGCATGGAGGCAGCTTCAGTATTTGTACACACACATACACATACATATATACACTGCACACACATATGCAAATATAAGGTAAATTCTTAGAAATGGAATGACTGATTCTAGTAGCTTATAAATTTGTATAGGTATTGTGAAATTGTCGTTTTTCTTTCACGCCCAAGCTTGGGAATTGCTGGGGACTCTCCAAACAATGTCCCTGACTCTACTTTTGGTTGTGGGGTCTGGGAGCCCATTCATTTCCTCTTCCTAGTGCTTTCTTCTAGCAGCTGCCCCCAGGTTTGCCTCCATGATCCAGCAACTGCTGTCTCCATTCCCCTTGTTCAGAAGGTTCCATCTCCTCCTTCCCCAAGAGGGCTGCAACCACCCTCAGCTTTCATTTCTCCCTCCTCAGAGAGTACCAGCATCTTCTCCCCCTTATCTTTATTCTTTGTGAGGCTGATATGCTAAAGTTTGTCTAGTCTTCCCCAAACTCAAATGACTACATCCCTACTGCTGCCTTCTCCCTCTCCATTTCCGTTTCTAGCATGACTACAAAAGAACCCCGTCCAGTCCAGCCTGTTGGCTTACTCCTTCCCACCTTCCCTCCAGTTCATGCTCCAGCCCACTGAAGAGTGGCGCCCACCCCCAGGCCCCTGCCTAAATGGCTATTCCAGAAACACCAGTGACTTCCCACTCACCAAAGTCTGGGATCATTTCCCCAAGATCCTGCCCACCTCTTCTTCTCCACTCTCTGTTCCCTTCCTTGGGGCCACCATGGCTGCTTCTGGATTTCTCAATCAGACACCCACATTGTAGTCCCGTCCTTGTTCAAATAAAGCATCTCACTTCAACAGTTTGCTTTATCTTCAGGACTAAGCTGGCCCCATACACGAAGGACTCATGAGGGGCATGCAATCTGTGTGCCCAGCCTGAGCCCAAGGGTCTATTCTGAACCTTTTTTTAAAAGATAAAAGTTCTTGCAGGTATAATAGGGGTGTCCGTCAAAAAGTAAAAAATAATTTTGTAGAAAAGTTTGGACGCTTTCCTAACTCTCTGAAATGACACAAGCTGGTCCTTTTGACTCGGAAGCTAAGTTTCTAAGATGGAAAGTCCCATGTAGGAGTGGGACACATGAAACCAATTATTCAACCTGTCTGGGGTCATAAGTGTAGAGGTGGCTCCTACTGCCATCTGCCTCTTTGAGTGTGGATGGCGGGTGCTTGTCATTTTCCACTGGCTCCGGTGGACGTGGGGAGTATGGGAATGAGGGGAAGAGAGGAAAGAGGGAGAGAGGACGTGACATCCAGGCTTTCACAACTCACTGTCTTGTGTTTGAAAATATCTGATTTCATTATTTTCTATAATTGATTTCTAGCACAGCTATTCTGAGGAAAATGCTAGAAAAAAATATGTTATTCCTGTGTATCAATGTTACTCTTTGTTGATAGTAAACGGCTTAGTCACTTTGTGGGGGAAATAAAGAGGTTGATTCATGGCAATGTGACCCTCTTGCCACTTCTGGTTCCTTTTTTCCCACTGTATATCAAGACCCATCGCCCTTGGGAAGTGCATTTCTACATTCGAAGAAGAACTTGAGAGAAACCTGTAAGTAAACTTTCAGCATAATCTTATTTCTAAAATTGCTTTTTAAAAAGTACTAGTAAACTGTAACCAGAGCATACTTTAAGGCCCTCTCTGCCCCGACAGTCTCCCTATGTATGGAAGTATCAGAAAGTCTTTTCATGTTGGTATCTGAATATCCTCTGCTCAGGGAAGACTGCAGCACGAATATTCTCGTACTTGCGTAGCTTATGTATACTCGAGCCACTCCCGCTTTTGAAGAATGAATGCCCTCAGCTAAGCCTCCTGGCCATTATGAGGAGCCCTAGGCTGGCTCAGTCCTGCCACACTGACAACACAGCTCCCAGAACCTGGCACATGCAGCAATGGGCTGGATTGTTCCATAAATGCTATTCTGTTTACCTAGTAGCATTCATTAATCTTTCCTTTCTTGTGTGAAGGCTGCTTTCCCAGAGGAAGGCATTTGCTCGTTTTCCCAAGGCAAGAGCGATGAAAACAAAGTCATGAGGAGTTCTTTCTACCTCAAAGGAAGGCCTCAGCTCCTGCTCAAGCTGTTTTGACAGTCTGAGAGAACAGTACATTCTGAACCACATTGTAGGTTTGCAAGAGCTTATTAAAAAAAAAAAAAGAGAGAGAGAAAAGGAAAAGGAAAAGAAACCCCCCATTCTTCTTTTGTTCCACTCCCAGGTGCTGGGTTTTGATGTTCTGTCTCAGAAGTGACCTCAGAACGCCAGCTCCAAGAACCAGCTCCGCTGCTGTCTGCACCTTTAATATCCAAGAGCATGGGGCTAGCGGGGACCTTAGAACTCAGCTGGCCTGTGAGAGCTGAGGTCCTGGAGGTGATGTGACCTATCCAAGGTCACACAGCCTGGCTTGGGTAGAGGCAGACTGGACCACAGGTCTTCCCGTCTGGCGCTGTTTTTATATTCTGCTCTGCCCTTTGTTCAAATTCCTTTTAAAATGAGATTCACATCAAGCCAGTGAGGGGAGCTGATGGGCTCAGACTGGATTCCTGCAGGGGACCGGCAGGGCTGGTTGAGGCATACAGAAAGAACAGAACGCTTGTCTGTTTAGGTTTATTGTCCCCTGGGGTGTCTGCAGACTGTATCTGGGCTTGCTGAGCATCAGCCATTAGCTTTTGCCCAGGCACAGAGTCAGAATGAACTGGTATCACTTAATGGGAATTGCAGGACATCAGATGAGGCAGGAGCTTTGGAAATGGGGAAAGAGGGGAGCGATAAGATGCTCCCAAGGTCATTGTCTCCTGGCCTTTCCTCCAGAGAAGGTCACATTTCTTTCTTCCACACTTTCAATAGCAGCCAGTCTGTGGGTTTCTGTTTGCCAGCTCTGGAGCCACATTAGTGATGTGCAGCTTAAACACTCCTCAGTCTAGAATGCACCTAGGGTGGGCCATTCATGTGGTGGGTCTCATTATTATTTCATGGCTCCATTTTTTGTGGTTGCTGACTGGATCTTGTATCTGAAGCAAGGACACATTCATCTGCACCTTGAAAATTGATCTGTGCTCAAAAGACAGCGCTCAGAAATGCCTGTCTCCTTGACTCATCAAAAAGGTGGGCAAACCAGAGCTCTATGGGTGGGGGCCCTGTGCCCTCCATGTTGAGCTCTCAATGCTCCCACTGACATTGAGATCCTCTGCAGGGAAACGATAGAGGTGTATGCACGTTGCAGAGGGGCTGGCTAGCTAGCATGGGCAGGGTTGATGTGGAAGTCTGGCTGTTTCTGTTTCCCATGGCAACAGCTTAGCCCTGCATGAAAGCAGGTAAATGTGGGCTTAGGCCAGATGCATAGACGGCATATGGCTCTGCAGAGCTCTCGGCTCAAACCAGGCCTCTTCCTCCCTAACCCTGTTCTGCTGTTTTCATGTTCCCTTCCACCCAGCCACACAAAAAGGGCTTTAACCCCATGAAAGAGAGATGGGGCCCTTGGTGGCACTCTGCTGTGGACTCCAGCTAAGCCTTCCCCGCCTGAGGTGTGGTAGAAGCTGCAGTCCTAAGATAAAAGCAAGAAAGTGGTCATTACTCCAGGGACAGTGCTGTTGGTAAAAACCGGAAACAGGTATTGTATCCTGGAGACATAAGCATGTCCCCAGGATACAATAGATATTATTGACGGGAATAGATATTATTGACAATGGATGCAAAATAAAGAGAAATTACAGGTTAAAGGGATCAAGTAAACTTTTAGAAGCTGCCAGAAAAAAACAAAACAAAACAAAAAACGTTGGAGAGGCAGAGGGAGGGACTCTGTAAGTACAAGAGAGGGGAATAAAGCGGAAATCTTTGGGCAAAAGTAAACATTTCCGAGGCATAGAGGAAAACCTTTCTGTGTGAGACTGGAACTTGGTTTGAGCATGGTTTTTAAATGTTTCCAGAGATAAAACAGGAAAAGGTAACTCAGAGGAATGGAGAAGAGGAGGGCTAGGATGAAAAGCGGGCCACAGAGGAGAGAAGAGAGCCATGTGAGCATCATCTGACGATCAAGGCTGCACACTCACAATCCTTGGCCAAAATCAGCCAGTCAGTGTTTAAAAATAATTTGAGCCAACAGTTTTTTAAAAACCAGAAGATGTCACCCAAAGAAATCTAGATTTCTGACTTGAAAAAAAAAAGTCAGAAAATCTGCTGACTGCCTCTATAGAGAGCTTTGAAGAAAATCTGCTGGGTTGGTGGTTGCTGTTCCTGCCACTGAAATGGGGCGTGGGCTCTCCAGCCCCTTAGAGACCCACGTCCCAGTGCCCCACACCCCATTCCCCCAAGGAGTATCTGTGTCTCCTTAATTCCTTCACCGTTTCTGGTGCCTATCTGACCCTTGTAGGCATCTGAAATGCTGAGTACTGCCTGCACAGGATACCATGAGTCCCCATTCCTGACCCCAGCTCAACAGGGAAGGTGAGACCAACACCGAATGCACTTTTCTTCCCTGTCCCTGGGAAAGATGGCTTAGTTGGGAGAGAGAGTCCTTGATCTGGACCTTAGACCAGGATGGGCCTGAGTCCAGGGTTCCTGAGTTTAAGGGGTGAGCAAGGTGAGCCTAATGCTGGCTGTAACAGTCTCTAGGTAAACATAGGTATTCGTGAGCTGCACGATGCCATGGAGCAAGTGTTCACCTGGGTAAAGGAGAGCTGCCATCAGCTTTAGAAAGCTCAATAAAGCTGTGATGGCAAGTGCGGGGAGGACTCTGGATGTAGCTGACAACACAGGACGGCTCATCCTGGCATGGCGAACCTGCATTTCAGGATGTGTGCTTGATTGGGATCCTGGGAATATATTTCAACCAAATTCAGACACTGCTCTATGAAGATCATGTCAAAGAGAGGCTGAGCAGTTGTCCATCCTGACCCCTCAGGGTCATTTAAACATGGGTTGAAATCCTACCTCTTGCACTTATTTGCTGTGTGACCTTGACCAAGTTATTTAACCTCTCTGAGTCCCAGTTTCCCATCTAAAAAGGTATAGTGACAATAGTACAGAGTTAGAAAGCATGTATATCAGATCAGATGCTGTAACAGTGGACAGGCATAAAGTAACACATTAATAACTATTGTCTGTTATTAGGAATATTTCACAAAGTCTCAGACATTGACACAAGCTATAGTTTGTCCACTTCTCTAATTATGTATCCTGTGGTGACTGAGGGCCAAGTGGGTATTGTTATGGACAGAATGTTTGTGTCCTCTGCCAATTTGTTTGACCTCCGATGTGGCTGTATTTGTAAATGGGGTCTCTAAGGAAGTAATGAAGGTTAAATGAGGTCTTAAGTGTGGAGCCGTCATCCGATAGCATAGTGTCCCTATAAGAAGAAGAAAATGTAACTGCCTCACCATTGTGGAAGAGAGACAAGAGGCTGGCAGCCAAACAGAGCAGTGGGTGAAATGATCTCTGGGTGCCATGTTGGAAAGGTCTTTGTATTTAATTGAAGGTAACACAGCGTGAAGAGTTACCAGAGAGCTCAGCCTCCTTCTCTCCCCTCCATGTGAGGACACAGAGAGCGGGGAGTTGCCTGTAAGCCGGGGAGGAACCTCTACCAGAATCCAACCCTGCCAGACCTTGATCTGGAACTTCCATCCTCCACCACTGTGAAAAATCAATTTCTGCTGTTTAAGCCACCCAGCCTGTGGGGTTTTGCTAAGGCAGCCCTGGCAGATGATGACAGGTACATAGCAAATTGTAATTCCATTACCCAGGAACCGTAGTGGAATTTTAAAACAGGACTCATGAAAAGTCAGAGATGAGATATTGATGTAGTGGGAAATATGTCACCAAGTGGTGGAAAACTGGGGGTCTCACTCCTAGCTTAAAGTTCTTTAGCCTATTTGGATTTTATTTTCCTCTACTGTAACTATCAGCCAGGAAGGTGTCAATCAAAATCACCTGGACTTGTGCTATCCAATACATAGACTCCAGTTATCTATTTAACTTTAATTTAAATGTAAATGATTTGAATTATTAAAATTAATCATAATTAAATAAAATCACACTAAAATTAATTAAATTTATTAATTAAAATTAAATAAAATTTAAAATTCAATTCTTCAGTGGCATAAGCCTTATATCAAGTGCTCAATAGTCACACGTGGCCAGTGCCTCCTATGCTGGACAGCGCCTCCTATGCTGGACAGCGCATGTCTAGAGCATGCCCAGCATCACAGACAGTTCTATCAGATAGTGCCGAATTCTATAGCTTGCTACCCAAAACCTGGTCTTCATGAGAGCAGCTTTGGCAGCACCTGGGAACTTGTTAGGAATGCCAACTCTCAGGGGCCACCCTAGACCTTCTGAATCAAGATCTGCATTTTCACAAGATTCCTTCCAGGGATCACAAACTCAAGTCTAGGAAGCTCTGAACTATGATTCCCTCCAGCTCAAAAAAGAAAATTTATGAATCTGGGTATCTGCTTGACAAAGTCTTTGAGAAAGAAACTATCTGCTTAGCTTATCAAAATTCCAGTTTACTGATTTGCCTAAAAGGAAAAAAATTGGAATATCTGAAGGAAGATCAGCAGAATGGCTGCCCCTCCACAGGAGCAAAAAGAAATCAGCAAATGTCTAAAGGAGGCATGGATGGTGCCATCGTGCCTGGAGGGTGGTACACCTTGGAGGGTGGTACAATTCAGCTTCCATCTCTGTCTCTCTCTCTCTCTTTTTTTTTTTTTTTTTTTTTTTGGTAAGAGAGATGGGGTCTCTCTATGTTGCCCAGGCTGGTCTCAAACTCCTGGGCCCAATCAAGCAAATCTCCCAACCTCAGCATCCCAAAGTGCTGGGATTATAGGCATAAGCCACCACTCTCAGCCTCCAGTGCCTATCTCTAAGCCTCCCATCAGCTTGGGCATTCAATCTGTTCCTGAAGAGCAGAGAACGGACATTCTTCACATTCTGTGGCAGCAAAGAAACAACAAGGAATGAGTAGCATTTACTGGAGACATTTTATCCAGAGAATCTTAGGGTGCTTGCTAAGGTTCCCTTCGTTAAACCAAAAGGAGCAGGTAGGTCATATATTCAATTAGGGAAAATGAGGAACAGAGAAGAAATGAATGCTGCAGTCAATGATGCCAAAAGGGCAGACTGAAACATCAGCCTCTGGGCCCATGGGCCTAAATTCTGCTCTGGGGCGTAAGCTGTAAAATAGGAGAAGATACCTTCAGTCCTCTTACTGCAGAAAGTTTTGGTGTCTTGGTGATGCGCTGTTCTCAACACAAAAATAAGGATAACATTAGAGCTTCTGGCTGTGAAGAATGCATGTTCCTCTTACAAGACAAGATTGTAGTCGTATATCTTATTTAATTGATATTCGATTTTATTGCAGAATGTTAAAATGTTAATGTGTCCATAAATCTGTTTCATACTTTCAGAAAAATGTCTGTATTAAGAACACACTGTACAAGGATAAAGGCAAGAGAAAGGAAAAATGAATCCAGAATATACATTATTAATTTTTTAGGAAGGAAGCAAAATGGTGCTTCATAAAGGAAATTAGAAAAAAGTTAAGCAGCTGGGATTTCTGATTTGCTTTAAAGAAGAATCTGCTAGTTTGAGACATATCCTTACAGAGTCAACTATTTTGATTCAGGGAACAAAAAGTGAGCAGATAATGGAAATGGGCTTGTGATATACAGGTCAGCTCTTAACAGCCACTGGCAGAAGATGTGATGTCTCCAGCAGGGACAAACAGTGAGCTGAAGATCTTGTCACATCATGCAGAGCTGTGGAATTGGGGCATGGTACGGAGGATAGAGCCTACCCAGGAGTCAGGGAAGCCTGGCATGAATCCTGCTGTGCCGTCTCCACTTTGTGATTGCTGACAAATTCCAGGAAGCACTCAAAACCTCAGTTTCCACTGGGTCATATGCAAAGAGCATCTGCAGGCTTGGGGTAGGAGCAGAGAGATGCTTTATAAAATGTGCCTACAATTAACAAAATGTTAGGCAATTAACAATTTTTAGGGTATCAATCAAATAATGTTTGAGGTCAAACCCAAAGCAATGACAGAGCAAAGAGTCATGCCTGGGAGGAGAGGTAGCAGCAACTGACCTGCTCTGGTGCTGGACGTCCTGCCCTCTACCCCCACCTGCCTGCAGAGTCCTCCTGCCTGCGCCATGGGACTGGTCTGACTCGGTCCGCAATGCTAGGGAAGGTTCAGGAGCACAGGATCCTATCTCTATCTTCAGCCTTCAGTCCAACCTCTGATTCCAAAAGGAAGCAAGCTTGTAGGCAGAAGGAACTATGGCCCTTTCTGGCCCCCGTTTTAATCACCATTCTAATTCCCTTTCCTCCTGTTGCTGTCAGAACATCCTCATATATGGGATCTGGACTCTCCTAAGACCAGTCCCATACGGCAGTGACCCCTCTTCAACACTCAAGTTCGCCTCGTGTCTCTTTTCTGCTCTGAGCATTTCCATTCAGATTACATAGCAGGAACTGCAAGCCCTCTCTATTCTTGGTGGAGAAATTTACACACGTTTACTCCTGACCTGCCTATTTCCTCCACTCTATTTCTGCCCTTCATTAACCTCATTTGACCTGAACTCAGAAGAATAATTTCCTTACCCATGGTTGCTCAGTTCACAACCTGTAGCCAATGTCTGGATTCATCTTACACGACAAATGTAATTCACTGGCTCCTACTGTATTCAGCTACTCTGTAAATTCAGACCCACCCTATTTAACATGAGAAGGGATTTATTTGAGATTGTTTAAAAATTAACCAATGTCTGCATTAAAATCCCATACATGTGATATAATGCTTATTAGATATTTTCATGTCAATCAAGAAGGAATATCAAATTTATTTTATACGTATTACTCCAAATGAATCCAAGTCTCTCTGAGAGCATCACAGACCTAAATCTGTGTGACTGATGGCGTGTTAGCAGCTCCATAGTGCCTTCATTTTAATTATTCCAGTTCTAGGTAAAAAGAAAAGATGATTAACTCAGTGACGACAATATTCTTCTTTTCTTTGTAAGAGTCTCAGGAGGAAAGTGTTCTCAGAGGGTGGGGGCATAAGAGGGAAGAAGCTGTGGTTACAGAGTGGTTACAGTGGCCTCCGTCCAAGTCTGCATTTAAGTTTGGATGCCCTTGGTGTGCTTTCTGGCCTGCAAAATTAGAGCACAAGAAAACAGATGACTGTTAAAGAGTAAGCTTGCATAATGCAGTTTATTGACATTTCAGCCTATCAGCCTTGGGTTCAACTATTAAGGCTTGTGATATAGGGCTATTGCCTTTATCAATAGACAATGACTCTCTAGCAGACCAGTACAGAATTCAGTGGCTTAAAATAAATCAGAATTTATGATGACTCATGTGTCTACGGTCAACTGGTGGGCTGGCTGAGGACTGGCTGGTCTAGGATGGCCCCTCTCACATGTCTGGCAGTGGGACGGCTTTTGGCTGAGCTGATGGAATTGCCTGGTAGGTGCCTTTCATCATTCATCAGTCTAACCTGTTGTGACAGGCTCAATAATGGCCTCTCAGAGAAGTCCATGCCCTACTGCTCAGAACCCATAAATATGTTCCCTCGCATGGTAAAAGGGACCCTGCAAATGTGATTAAGTCTCTTGAGATGGGGAGATTATCCTGGATTGTCTGGATGGGCCCAGCATATTCACAAGGGTTCTTCTACGAGAAGTGCAGGAGGATCGGAGTCTAGAGAGAAGATGTAAGGATAAAAGTCTAGAGGGAAGATGCAACATTACTGGCTTTGAGATGGTAGAACAGGGTCTGTGAGCCAGGAAATGTAGGTGGCCTCTAAAGATGAAAGAGGCAAGGAATCGAGCTCTCCCCCAGTGCCTCCAGAAGGGCCACAGCATTGAAGACCCATTTGAGACTCTGACCTCCAGAACAGTGAGAGAATAAATATGTGCTGCTTTAAAACACTGAGTGGTTATTTGTTACAGCAGCGACAGGAGGGGAATGCAGCTGACAACACAGGAGCAGGTTCTGTGAGAGAACCTGGAGCAAGTCCCAGGCCTAGGATTGCCGCTGTCATTTCTGCCACGTTCAATTGGGCAAAGGTCACACAGCCAACCCAGATGCGAGGGATGGATGAACAGACCTCATCTCTTGATGGTGGAAGGTAGAAGAAGCTGTAAAGTCATATTGCAAGGGAGAGGACTCAGGGAAGAGGAAAGAATTATGGCCATTTTTTTGCAGTCAGTGTACCTCCATGCTCTTTATGTAGGTCAGAGGACATTCAAAAGCAATTTCTGACCTTAGTTTCCTTTTCATTTTCAGGACACAGGACGCATGGGTATCTGGACCTCAGGCATTGATATCTTCCTAAGTCTTTGGGAGACTTATGTGTCTCCAAGAAGCCCTGGATGGATGGGCTTTATCCAGCATTCAGGAGCTTGCTGTTTTGTTGCTCTTATTTCAGTGGGCCTCCTGTCTGTGGCCTTTTGCTGGTTTCTTTCATCAATCATAGCAGTTGCTGTCTCCTGGATTATCACATGTGTTCTGCTGTGTTGCTCCAAGCATGCACGGTGTTTTATTCTACTCGTCTTTCTCTCTTGTGGCCTGCGTGAAGGCAGGAATGCTTTGATTGCAGCTGGCACAGGGATCGTCATCTTGGGACATGTAGAAAATATTTTTCACAACTTTAAAGGTCTCCTAGACAGTATGACTTGCAACCTAAGGGCAAAGAGCTTTTCCATACATTTTCCACTTTTGAAAAAATATATTGAGGCAATTCAGTGGATTTATGGCCTTGCCACTCCACTAAGTCTATTTGATGACCTTGTTTCTTGGAACCAGACCCTGGCAGTCTCTCTTTTCAGCCCCAGTCATGTCCTGGAGGCACAGCTAAACGACAGCAAAGGGGAAGTCCTGAGTGTCTTGTACCAGATGACAACCACGACAGAGGTGTTGTCTTCCCTGGGTCAGAAGCTACTTGCCTTCACAGGGCTTTTGCTCGTTCTGCTTGGCACTGGCCTCTTCATGAAGCGATTTTTGGGCCCTTGTGGTTGGAAGTATGAAAACATCTACATCACCAGACAATTTGTTCAGTTTGATGAAAGGGAGAGACATCAACAGAGGCCCTGTGTGCTCCCGCTGAATCAGGAAGAAAGGAGGAAATATGTCATCATCCCGACTTTCTGGCCAACTCCTAAAGAAAGGAAAAACCTGGGGCTGTTTTTCCTCCCCATACTTACCCATCTCGGCATCTGGGTGCTGTTTGCAGCTGTAGATTTTCTGCTGTATCGGCTCATTTTCTCAGTGAGCAAACAGTTTCAAAGCTTGCCAGGATTTGAGGTTCACTTGAAACTGCACGGAGAGGTAGGGGCCCACAGGCACTTCTCATGGTGTATCCTGACCCTTTGCTGGTCTGTCTTGCAAAAAGTCATGAACCTCCCAGAGCAGGGCAGTGGCTTATTCACCTTTGCATCCATGGTGCCTGGCATAGTGCTTGGCACATAGAAGGAGCCCAACAAATTTAAACTAAATTGAAGTCACGATGTTTGCGTGTGATTCTGCATTAGTTCCCTGTGGCTGCTGTGACAAGTGGCTTAAAATAACAGAAGCTTATTCTCATATAGTTCTGTAAGGAGAAGTCCAGAGTGAGTGTCACTGGGCTGAAATCCAGGTGCTGTTGCCGCTCTTTGCGTCTTCCAGGTTCTGGTGGCCAATGGTATCCCTTTGCCTATGACCACGTCACTCCCATCCCTGCTTCTGTCATCACATCACTTTCTTATTTGCATGTGGAAAATCTCTCTCTGCCTCTGTCTTAAAGAATGTATATGATTGTGTTAGGACTTTCCAGTATAATCCTGGGTAATTTCTCTATCTCAAGATCTTTGACTTAATAACATGTGCAAAAACCCTTTTTCCAAATAAAGTAACATTAACAGGTTCCAAGCACTAAGACCTTGTGTCTTTAGGGCATCATTCAGCCTCCTAAATCAACAAACACTGAATGTGGAAATAAATGTCTCTGATGTTGAACGTGAAGTGGATTCCCAAGCAGGACTATCTGGCATGAACCTAAGAGACAGGGAATTAGGGCCTGCCTTCCTCTCATCCTCAAACTTGGGCAAGTAGGCTTTGAGCACCTTCTCTGAGTGAGAACTTTTCTGTGTACCCTGAGTCCTTATCAAACACAGGAAGGTTCCCAAGGATGATTGTTGAAAAGGACTCCTAAGTTACCCAGTAAAACGACTGACTAGTACCCGGTAGCACTCACTTTAAAAAATGCGACACAGCTACACTTTGTTTTTTTTGAAGCAGATTGGATTGCTAGTTCTCAACCTTATATGTGTGTTAAGAATTTCCTAAGTTGGATAGAGTTTTAGGCCTCGATTTATTTACATAGATCTTGTTTTAACTGGGAGAGCATTTTAAATAAGCTGGCCCTGTGATTTCAAGATAGGTGGTCCATAGACCACATTTTGAGAAACTCTGGCCTGCGTATTAGAAAGCAAGTCACCTCTAAACCAGAGGCCCTCAACCTTGGATTCAGGGTTGCATCACTGTGGAGCTGAACTAACAAACCAACTCAAACCAGCTCTTTCCAGAAACCCCAGAGATTCAGTTTTAATTGGACTGGGGTGAGAGATTTTAAAACCTCCCCGAGTAATTCTAATGTGCAGCCAAGATTGAGAACCCCTGCTCTAAACTCCTCACACCAAGAACAAAGCCAGAAAGTTAGCTCCTAATTGCCATCAGATAGATCTATGAAAAATCTTAATTAGCCAGGACAGCATCTGTCTCTGAGCTGGCGCCTCCTGTGTCTTGAAGGATCTGGCTTTCTCTCCTCTATTCTCCCTCTCCCTCTTCATGACAGCTGTGACCAACACAGAAGATGGTGGGGTTGGGGCATCCCATTGTTTATCTTTCCTTTTCCATTTTCTCTGTGGATATTTGTGCTTATGTTGACATTTCAGAGGATCTGGATATCGTCAGACACTTGTCTTACTGTTTTATAAACCCAGAAATTGCGAGGCTGAACCACATGGGGTGGGTATACACATGGGCAGGTGTGTATGTGCATGTGTGTGATGCATACTAGGGTTAAGTACACTAGCCCAGGCTGGCAAAAATAATGCAGGTAACCCCAAAATTCGGGCTTAGCCTAGGAGGGTTCTTGGCTTTGCTTGGGAAAGAATTCAAGAGTGAGCTGACAGTGAAAGAAAGCAAGTTTATTAGAACAGAGTACAGCAAAATCACTGCTCCATAGGCAGAGAAGGACTATCCCATAGGCAGAGTGGCCCAAAGTAGCACTCATGGATTGCTGATCAGTTATATTTATACCTAGTCTTAATTATATGCTAATTATGGTGTGGGTTATCCATGAGCTCTCTGGAAAAGGGGTGGGGGGAGTTCCCAAACAATATAAAACAACTTCTGGGTCATTGCCATGGCATCATTTATAAACTGTCATGGTGCTGGTGGGAGTGTCTTATGCAGATATGTTATAATTAGCACATCATGATCAGTGAGAACAGCTAGAGGTTTTTTTCATCACCATCTTGGTCCTGGCTGATTTTGGCTGGTTTCTTTGTTATATCCTGTTCTAGCCACAGGGTCATGACACAGGCTCAGTAAACAGGTCGTGCTGATCTCCTACCTCAAAAGCACCAACAGCTGTTTCTTTTTTAAAAAAATTATTATTTTTAACTTTTGTTGTTATTTATATTTGACACAGAATAATTGTACATATTTATGGGATATCCAGTAGCTATTTCCACGGGTCTGATTCCTCAAGCTACAATAGAGGTTGTGCAAGCTGCTGGGGAAATCACAGAGGAAAAACAGCCACAATGTTGACCACAATGTTGCCTGCAAAGCCTCTCGTGAAGCCTGGCTTTCCATTTCTCTCTACCTCTCAAGGCCTCAAATCCTCCTGCTACATCCGCATTTTTCCTCCCCCTTCCTCTGGCTCAGCAGATCTAGTCCCACGGCTCCTGCCCTCCTAAGCCTGGGCTGCTTCTCAGAGTTGATTATTCTGAGCTCTCTGAGTACCCTGAAGAATCCCGTTAATTACAAGGCACCCTGTTGCTCTAGATATTTGGAACAGGGTGGATAATGGAAGTAGTGTTTCAACTGAAAGCCAGACAGGAATTTCAGACATGCTTGATCTTAGAGGGTGGCCAGGAAAAGGGTCTCACTCCTTCCCCCCATTCTCCTCCTGTGTTCTCCTTTCTTGTCTTCCCCCCGCCTCCTACTCTTCCCTCTCTCCTACTTTTTGCTTCTCTCTCATTTACTTCTCTCTCAGCCAGTACCCGTGCCTGTTTTGTGAATTCTCACCATGTTAGATAGAGGGAAAAAAAGCAAATTCTGCCTTCAAAAAAAAAAAAAACTGCTTTCCAATGACAATGTCCTGACACCTTCATCTTCATCTCTGCGCACCGCTGGCTGCTGGGGATGTGAAGATGTCTAGGCTGTGAGGGCTTATGTCCTAGGAGGGAGGCCACCATGTGCACATGTAAAGCAGCAGGGTGGTGGGCACTGGAACAGATGAGTGCGGGACTGCTGTGGGAGCGCCTCTCGATCTCTTTCCTGCTGTGCCTGGGAGACTGTGCTGCCAGCAGCTAGCTTCTGCGTGACTTGCGATGCCCTGCCCTTATGCCAGGATGCCCTTGGAGGCTCCTGGTCTTCACCATTGCCTCACATTTGCCAATGAGAAGTCAAGCAGGAAGAGAAACACTGGCTCAAGGTGTTGCCAATATTTCTCTCACACTTTCATACAATTTTAAGTATATGTTTTAAATAAAGAAGATGGGAAATGACCCAAGTAGAGCTAGCTTTGTGGGTGGGGAGTGTAAATAAAAATATCCAGAGTTTCTACTTATTGAGCACCTACTATGTTCACTGCATTTGGCTGCATTAATTTTTCAGGACTGGCTGACACCAGAGCCTGCCCTCCGATTCATTGCTTAGTGCTGTGTCAATAAATTGTTTACTTAAGAGAGGAACATATATAATAAAACATCGGGGTACCACTTAGTATATTGCTTGGCGTTTTAAAAGAATTAATCTGTCTTCCACATTACCCTTAACCAGCCGCATATAAAAATGTTGACTCAACCTTTCTGAAGCCCTGATTCCCAACTGCAGAATCCCCAGTTAAATTTCTAGACAAAATGACTTCTTACCAGATCGAACACCCGCTGCTTTCTTATTGCAGAATTTCTCATCACTGACTCAATCGATGTGTTTGTTTCTTCAATAGTATTAAAAAGAGTGCATGTCTTTGCTCTGGGGACTGAAATCCCTCTATTTAATTGTTGGCAGACTGTCTTTTTAATAAGAGAAAAGGAAAGGCAACACAAATGTTTTTCATTGCTTAGGCACAGTGCTGGGGAAATTATAGATTTGACTTGACATTCGTGTAGAGGTCCCAGGTTGGGGTTTCCCAAGTCTTCACAGGCACTGGTGCCCAGTGTCCTCTGGGTGTGGTTGGGTTCTTTTTGAGACGTCATTTGTCTTTTCTTGGCCCCAGGGCTCTGTGGCACTAGAGTGATAATTACTTACCAAGCACCCCAGTCTGTAAAACTAATGCTCCTTCCCCAAGGTGTTTAATTTACACTGGGAATAGTTTATTCGTGGGCAGGATCTGGTCCATTAACTCCTGTTTTACCAAATTAGAAAACAAATCCACTGAGAGATTAAATGACTTTCCCAGGTCAGAGAAAGAAAGAGCTGAATCAGCGCATACTTCTCTTATGGGTGGCTTGGCTGGGTGGCTCAATGTCATCTCCTGCCCTCTGTGTTGATCTGCTGAGGGCAACTGGTTTATTCTCTTGCCTTCAGAAAGGAAAGAATGTACCTCTCATGAGCATCCAATAGGGATGAGAAAATTTCCTATTTTTAGGACCTGTTCAAACATGATTTTAGAGTCTCCTTCAGTAATGCGGGCTTGAGAGTCAATGTATCAACCTAGAAGGGGATGGAGTACCCTAAATAGAATAATCTCCCCTAAGCTCCAGAAGGTTGACGTAGAACATGGTTTAATGCCTCAATGTCTTTGTGATCTTGTGGTCTGCTGAAGAGGGATTGACCAGACTGGGCGGATATAATGAGGTCCTAAGGGGCTACATTCTAAAACAATCTTCCCCTGAGTGCAGCTGACTGCCTCCTCTTTCTTTTGCCCCATATGTCCTAACGTGTAGAAACAAGTATGCCATGAAAATTAGTTAAGTGATCAAATTTGTTAGGAAAACTGCTGGCTAAAATTAGAAGATTCCTTTACCTTCTTCTCAGAGCTTTCAACAGTCTAACGGGTATTGTGACTTTCAAAAGAATTGATAGAGTAAAAAAACTTATTTAATACACATCTCTTAAGGGAATATTTACTGTATTTCCACAAACCCACTTTGGAAAACACTGCAATAGTTACAAATAAGATGCATCTCTTCTTCCTTGCTCCAATCATAACACACAAAGGAAGATGTGATAGTTCCGTTGGCCAAAGTTCCCTGTGTATTTGAAGATAGAGCCAATGTGCTGCAGGGAAGTACTGAGAAAGACAAGGACTGAGTACAAAAATGGCATGCATCATGATTATTTTATTCTTTCATTTTAGAAACAAGGAACTCAAGATGTTATCCATGATTCTTCCTTTAATATATCTGTGTTTGAGTCCAACTGTATCCTGAAACCAAAATTCCTTCTATCTGAGACCTGGGTTCCTCTCAGTGTTATTCTTGTAATATTAGTGATGCTGGGACTATTGTCCTCTATCCTTATGCAACTTAAAATCCTGGTGTCAGCATCCTTCTACCCCAGCGTGGAGAGGGAACGCATCCAATACCTGCATGCAAAGCTGCTTAGGAAAAGATCAAAGCAGCCGCTGGGAGAAGTCAAAAGCCGGCTGAGTCTCTACCTTACAAAGGTAAGGCCAAGATGGCAGTGTAACCTCCAGTTGAGGAAGTTTGAGTTTGAGAGGGAACTGGAAAGGGTACTTCAAAGCACTTAGTGCTTCAGCTTCACATCAGGACTTACATCCCAGCAGTAGATAGGACATTGGGGAAAAATGAGCAAACTTACATGGCTAGGACTCTTAACTCTGTGATTTGAATGCTGGTCCAAAGCATACTACAAGATATTCTTAAAATATTGGTTTCAAGTAAGTATTTTCAGTCATTGTAGAGAGGCGACTGGAGAGGTCCTTAGTGTTGGCTATTAAAGGACAAAGCACCATAAGATGTACTTTCCTAGGTAAAAAAAAAAAAAAAAAGAGAGGGAAATATCTACTACAGCTTTGTAAATGCCAAAGAACTTGCTCATTTTCCATTGTGCGTGTATGTTTGTATATATACAGAGAGGATATATAAAAATATAATAATATATATACAAATATATAAATAAAAACATAATGACTCATACATGTATAAAATGGACATACAGCAAAAATTTTATGTAACTTAATACATATTTATTAATGTGGGAGTGGTCAGAAAAATTACAACCAAAGAATAATTCAAAGAACACACACATATATAGGCCATCAGGAATACCAAATGAATTTGCTTAATAGGTTCAAAACTGCGATCTTCTTTAAGGGTAGATAGGAGGGATTAGTTGTACCCTACTGGGAGGAATTCATGGGCATGTCATGGACAACAATCACTTGCATTATTTCTCTCAGTCATCTGCAACTTACAGAATTGGGAAATAGCCATAGACAATGGAAGACCAACATAACCCACAAGGATAAGCTTTTTCTGTTCATTTCAGTCTTTTGCTGTTTTTCCCAATGTCTTTAACCCCACACTGAAAAATTTATGTCAGAGGCATTTGAAATGACTCCAACTCCAATGCTCATTTATCCACTTTTCTGTCTCTTCAGATTCATTTCTGGCTTCCAGTCCTGAAAATAATTAGGAAGAAACAAGTGGGCATGGCAAGTGCAGACAAGCCACGAGAGACCCCGGGTACTCTTCAGCCACGTCGCATCAGCAATGCTCAGGTCTATGAAGGCAGTCACTATTCATGCCAGATAATAGAGAACGACACGGTCTTCTCAAGAGTCTGAGTTTGCAGACCCACCTTGCAGCACCTGGTTATGCCTCCTTTCACCTCAAAGCCAAAGAGCTGCCAGGTGAATGGTTATGTGCTCTGTCTTCCAGCCAAACCACATGATCTGATCTGTGTCACAATGTTACAGGACTCTAGCTGGGTCCCCTGATGGTGAGTTTCAGCATAGAATAATGTTCAAAGAAAAGAAAACAAAAACAATTGAAATCTCTACCACGGCCTCGCAAGCAGATGCCAAAGGGAACATACGTATATAAAGCCAGCAAACTATCTTTAAACTCTTTGTCCTTTCTAATGTCTTCCATGGCGATCGCCCCCACAGTGGTCTCTCTCTCTTTTTGTTTTTTTTTTTTGATTGCAGAAATTTATTAAAGTTGGAGACATTATTTAACCTTCTTGTGCCGTGAGACTCCATCAGGCTATCTACAAAGTACACTGGGAGGCTGAGGATCACTTGAGCCCAGGAGTTTGAGGCTATAGTGAGCCTCAAAAGGTCACTGCACTCCAGCCTGGGTGAGGCAAGAGCCTTTCAAGGGGTAAACTGCATGTTTGCTTGCTGTGGTCATTAAAAACCCTGAAAGCAAAGACAACATATTAATCATGAAAAAAAAAAAAAAAAAAACAATGGTGTGATGCTTGTTGGTATAGTAGTTTCTCTCTGCCCTCTTAGTAAAGAACTCTTTCTGAAGCCCATTCCTAGCAGCTCCTAGTTTCTTCTTACCACTACCTGCACTTCTGCCCTCTACTTGCCTCTATATTGTTTTCTCCTCTTTTAGCAAATCATCTGGCTGGTAATTATGACAGGGTGGCCTACGGACAATGTGCATCAAAATTATATACAATTCTTGTGAAAATATACATGTGGGCCCTTTTTCACCTTTAATTATACCACAAATCACTTTTATTTTTATTATTTTATTTATTTATTTTGAGACAGGGTCTCACTCTGTCACCCAGGCTGGAGTGCAACGGCGCTATCTCAGCTTACTGCAATCTTTGCCTCCCGGGTTCAAGTGATTCTCCTGCCCCTGCCTCCCAAGTAGCTGGGATTACAGGCTCCTGCCATCATGCTCGGCTAAGTTTTTCTTTTTCTGTATTTTTAGTAGTGACGGGGTTTCACCATGTTGGTCAGGCCAGTCTTGAACTCCTGACATCAGGTGATTCACCTGACTTGGCCTCCCAAAGTGCTGGGATTATAGGCGTAAGCCACCATGCCCAGCCCTCAGATCACTTTTAACGAGTCACAGGACACGCTATCTTTATCTGTTAGGAACGTTTGCCCTCAGTCTGAAGTGCTCTCCCCTGTTGGCAGGACAGACTGGAAAGCAGTGCTGTCACCAAAGGCAATTCTGATCTTGAAAACAGGATTTAGACTCGCTCATTAGGGCCAATCTCACTTGGATGGGAAATGCTTATTTAATTACAGCTTATTCACTTTCATTTAAATGAATGTTAAGTTAAATTTCTTGAGACACCCATTGTGAAATGTGCTCTGTTAATCTTATAGAGGCAGAAAGGTACTGCCCAAGGCAATTTCATAGCGCACCCTTTTTTCACCTCTAATTTTAATGGCCTATAAAAGTATATTGCATTATCGCCTAAGTCACCATTTCTCATCTCACAAATCTCAGTCTGGTTCTGCATTTTTTTAGGGGCCATCAAGTGCCTTTCTGATGTGCTTACTGACTCTGCTGTCAGTTCAGTTTTCTTTGAAAGTCAGACATGGTAATTCTAAACACCTTCATGAGAATAGTTCTCTTTTATTGTTTTATTTGGGATATAAAATGTTATATTTCCTCTTCTCAGATTCTGTATTTCCTGCTTTGTCTGTTGGAACCTAATCAATCATAATTATAATATGGGATAGATATGTTGATGTCTTCACACATTACATGTTTTTGTCTTAATTCACTTAAGAGAAAGAAGTAAGCATATCTCTCCCTATGAAAGTAAGAACTAGCTTTCTCATCCAAACTCAATAATAGCGATTCCCCAAAAGTAGCAAAGACTACTGAGGTAAATTGTTGAGATTATAATAAGGAAGACAAGAATTGGCTGAAAAACTGAGTGTGAGTTGAATGTAGTTATTTGTCTATATTTAAAAGCCTGTATCATATTAGGCTAATATAACTCACACACAGTGGGGAGGAAAAATTTAAATTAACAGGTGGCTGAGGCTTTTCCAAGTTTTCCCAGTTCAAAGCCCCTTTTGATTTCAATCCATTGTGGTTGCAGTGAAAGAAAAGGGAGATAAATAACTGGGTAGTCGGGACAATTTATGACCTTTCATTATCTCGATTCTGAGTGTCCATGAACTTTACTTTTGCACTCAGGGAGCAGAAGAAATCAGAATTGGTCATTGGAGCACTCTGTCAAATGCAAATAGAAAGCAAAAAAGGCAATGACAGAAATAAAAGCATAACAAGCCACAGTCACTGCAATTAAGGCAGAAGGTTTTAGCACCACTTTACTGGATACTGAGGAAATACATAGTGTGGTGAGTGAGATGCCCCTACCCCTGCACTCAGCCTCCTTTGACAAAGGCAATGAAAAACCTGCATACTGACCAAAGCGTGGGACTCAGGAAGTGAACAGGTTTAGAGGACATAAAGGAAGACCAGGAAAGGCTGCGGCAAAGATGCAGACCTTGCCTGCTCACTTGTTCTCTAGGGTAATGGTTCCCAAGCTGGCTGATCATCAGAACCATCTCCAGAGGTTAAAAAATAAAAATAAAATTACAGACACCCAAACCTAAACTCAGATGTATTGACTTAGATAGAGGGAGGGTCCTGGAAATCTGTATCCTAAGGAACTTCATGGGTGATGCAGATATTAGGTCTGTTTGTTAATTACTGGTTTAGAGAATGCAGCAAGCCTTGGAGGGAGGGATTGCTGATTAAATAAAAACACATTTATATGGTATTTATGTAATTATCTGTGTAAACACACATTCAGGACTTTGATTCTGCCTGTTGCTGAGCCATTAAATTTCTCCAATAATGCAAAACAATGCAAAATGAAAATTTCTTCTCAAAAAATGTATTGTTCTCATCATCTGCAGTCTAACTCACTTTATGTAAATAAGCACAACAACAAAACCCATGACAACACTATGAATCATACAATTTTAATCTATAGATTGTTTTTTTAAATATGATTTGATTCCAGTATTATTTTTTAATTAAACTATTTCAATTTGGGGGATAGTATAGCACTTTCTTAAGAAAATGGAATGTAACCTTGCCTACATCAACCACATAATATAATAGAAAGAACAGAGAATCTTAGAATGGAGAAGGCTGGTTCAAATCCTCATTCTGCTAATTGTTAGGGACATAAACTTAGCAACTTAACTCTTATTTTTCTGAGCCTCAGTTTTCTTATTTACAGAATGTGACTGAAAATATCAGTCTCCCAGCATCTTTTTGAGAATTAAATGAGATCACATATATAAGGCCTCTAGAATACTTCCTGTCTCAAATTAGATGAATAAATTTTACCAATGTTAGCTCTTTTCTTTCTCTTTCTTCTTTCCCATAATTCCCTGCTCAACCCTACTTTCTTCAACTTTTGACAATAGAGTCTTATACAAAAAGAGTAAAAAAAAAAAAAGAATTTCAATCAAGCTTGATATACAATAAAGGGTTGGCAAACTTTTTCTGTGAAGGGCAAGACAGTAAATATCTTAGGCTTTGCAGTCAGAGTGGCTCTGATGTAACTACTCAACTCTGTCATTGTAGGAAGAAAGCAATCATAGACAATAAGTAGACAAACAAGCATGGCTGTGTTCCAATAAAACTTTATTTGCAAAAACAAGTGGCAAGCTGGACATGGCCTGCGGCTATTCTTCAACATCTGATAATACAGAAAAGTTTTTTAGAAATACACGAGTTGGTGCAGGACATGATGCAATGGGGACTTGGTCAGAAAAAACAAGGTTCAAAATCTCTCTTTGCCACCAACTAGCTGGATGACTTTATAAGTCATGTCACCTCTCTGAGTTCAGTTTTCTCATGTATAAAGATCAAGACGTTTAGCTGAAGAATCTCTAAAATCTCTGCCATCTCTTTAGGCCTACGATTCTTTGGGAGACAGCAGTGTCCTGGAGAGAATCACCAAGGGACTGTAACCCAAGTTTCAGCATTTGATTTGTTTGTTCTTTCACGGTTGATCAATGAATCATAAAGAACAACAGAAGCTCTCCAGTCCTAAGTACAATTTATTTGATGAAAAAGGGAAAAGATAACATTTGGTCAAAATAAATGTTATTTTCTCCACAGACACAAAGAAGCAATCAGAATAGTTATTCAATTCTAAATGTCACGTGTAATTTCATATGGCTTAAGGTCAGACTGCAATGTCAGTGAGTGAAGATCTGAAAATTGAAAGTCTTGCTTTTTTCAAATCGAGCAGTACTGTCACTGTAAATGTGATATATTAATTAGGGAGTAAAATAAATCAATCAAAATTGTTTTTCCAAAGGAAACCATTGTGGAAGTATGTTTGTACTGAAACAGTAGGTGTAGTATATCTTATAAGAAGAAATGTTAATATGCACTAGAAAATAAATAATAAGTTGTTTACAACATGTTTAAAAGAAAGGGTACTGCATTAAAATTTGGAAGAACTGGCCTCTATCTGATACTGCTACCAAGTAGCTTAGCCAAGGCATTTCTCTCTCTTAATTCAGTTATTCATAGAAAATGTAATAATAGTTATTAGTTAGTAAGCCCTTACTAGGCATCAGACACTGTTTTTAGTGAATTATTTCATTTAATCCTCACCAAAACCCCATGAGAGAGGATGTGCTGCTATTACTGTTTTATAGATGAGAAAACGGAGGCACACAAAGGCTAACTTGCCCACAAGTTATCTATAACACATTGAGAAACCTCTGTTGCCATTTATGATTCCTTTCTCCAATAAAAAGCCTATTCCTACCTAGTGCAGGGATATCTACACAACTAGAAAATCGTTTTGCTAAAAAAGCAACATAATTCTAAAGAGTCCTCACTGTTTCTTACAGTGCAAAAAATCATGGGATCATTAATTCAGCTTACAAAATGAATGATTTCTCTGTCCACATTCTTCAACCATGAAATCCTAGACAACTTCCGGAAAGCTGTGGCCCAGAACACCCCGATCCCACTCAGAACACTATTTATAAGAATGCCCCGTATGCAGTAGTCTTTACAGTTTTTCTTTTTCTCAAATGTTCTCTAGGCTGTGTAGATGACATTTATGCAATTCAGAGAAAGATGCCTCAACAGGATTAGTCAGCAGCAAAGTCCTCTGACGCAGCTTCTGTAACTAGTTAAAAATAGGAAAGAGGATATTTTGCATAAGTC